ATTCATGCAAGATGATAAACTACTTGAAATTAATGATTTTTTGAATTAGGTGCACTTTATTAATTTTGAAGATTGCTGATAAAATAGAAAGCAGAAAATTTTCTTTTATACATTTGAGTCGTTTAGTTATTTAGAGGAAAACTCCACGAAAGCATAAATATTATACCTGCAAGACTGTTGGTTTGATTCTTGCACTATCATAAATTCTTTGGATTTGCTTGCTATTACAGTTGGACAATCCAATTGATTTCGTTAATCCTTTTTCAACCAGAGACTCCATGGCCTAAAGGGAAAAAAATAAGTTTGATCGGAATTCTGAAGTTTAAAAAATCAACATAGTTATGTTTTATTTGAAAAATATTTCTTTAGGATGCTTCAAGTCGATATTGGCGACACTATCCACTTGATTTAATAACTCTCAATCCTTATCTGATGTCTACTTCCAAACATGTATTTTTTACAGTCAATAATATTAAGCATCACATCGCTTAAGAACTCTGAAGTATACTAAAAATTTAAAAGTGCAGATATATTAATTACGTATAAACGTCGCATTTCAAAGTAACACGAATGTTATTGACGATGGATCTCGTAAATTTTACTTTTTGTCGAGATGTCAGGATGGCTCTTGAACTGCGACTCCATTGTCCAAAGCTTCACATCGAGCCCATGTGAGAACCTGACGCTTCTGCAGATTTAACGCGTGCATCAGATACATTACACAACAGGAATTTGAGGGCATCAGGACTCGGAATTACGACTGAAGAGAAGAAATGCCACTTACGACTTCGCGACCATGACCATTAGAATACATCAGCCACTTAAGATAGTAGTAACTTTTCATTACTGACTGACTAAGTTTTGGCCGGAATTGGAACTCAAACTGTTTATACATCGACTACACAGTTTCAGATAGTATATCTGGTCATTATCATTCCCTTTGATGATGGTCTCTTTTGGAAACACTGCACACAAAGTGGTAAATACAAGTTTCAAAATCTTGAGTTATTTCTAAAGGACAAAAAAAAACCCCACTTTTATAAATATATCTACATCGAAATGATAACATAAGAGTATTATGTTTCAGACATTCATTAAAATTGTGTGTTGAGTACTAAAAGCACTGTTGCTTCCTGAGTATAAAGAGAGACGCAAATGATTAGTCGTGAATGAAATTCGCATAACTTTGAATTAAGGCCAATTGAAGAAGAGGACAACCAGACTGTAGATTTATTCTCAAACGGTCACATTCTACCAATATGTGTGTGAGGCAGTCTGAATACCAATATGAGTCAGAAGTTAACGTGAATCGGCCCCCTCTGCATGGTGGATCTTCAGTACACCAACTTTCACAAAATTCCTCGGCCGTCTGCGAAGCCGTGACGCCCATTTTCGAAACCCATATTACAGAAGATGTCTGAATGAAGAAAGTATGCCGCACATGTGAAGCCTATTTTTTAAAAACACACTTTCTAAAAAATATTGTGAATCCAAATCGAAAACTAAATTAAATTTACAACACTCGTAAATTAGCGCGCGCGCGCGATACTCACTTTCCAAGTATCCGCTAAATTAATGTTGTCAGTTACGAAAACACCATCTTTTATAACAATGACTTCCTTATCTTTATCAGAGCGCTATAAAGAAAGACAAAAATTGAGCTCTTTGTACAGAAAATTTAAATAAATAAGTACATTTTTAAAAAAAAAAATAGAAAGATTTAAGTTATAAATATAAGGTACTTAAAAAATCCAAGATTTCTCCTGTATTTCAGCAACTTTAATTATTTTTACTTTGAAACATTACATATCGATAAGACTTCAGGCTGCAATAATCTTAAATTTTGTTATTACAATGAAAAGTCTGTAATGATCAAATGCGACTTAGCACAGTTTGAGTTAAATTAATACATTTTGGATTGATGGTGTATATGTCGCAGGAAAATGATGAAATTAGGAATCCCATCAAATCTCGGAGGGAGATGATCACTTGACGGTAGATGTTAAAATAAGGTCTCTTCAAAGTTCAAATCCCTGATAAAAGTAAGGGATTTGAACGAATTACTGAGCTGTTTCAGTGAAATGACGAAATAATATTGTCAAGAGTTTAAAAGTGTTTATTTAACAAATATGGTGCATTATTAAACACAGAGAAGTAACACAACAATAGTTAATGAAATACAAATTAGTTATTCGAAACTAATTAACAAATAATTAGAAAATTAGACTGGTAATCAATCCCTATGTTAATCCTATGGTGCCATTTTTTTTAAAGATATGGGGCTGATATTTAGGGGATCGATAGCACTATCTGTATGGTTAGGAAGTACAAGGATTCGCCCTCCCCAGGTGTCATCCCCCCCTCTGTATAGCATTTTACCAATGAAAATTCTGACTAGTTCATTTCATCATTTCACTGAAACACTTTAGGGATTCGATAAAATTACTTACAACAGGGAAAAGACCTAAAAAAAAGACGTTATTTTAACATCTAACATGAATTGATCGTCTCCTTTAGGGATTTGATGAAATACCTAATTTTTCAATATTTTCCTGCGACATATACAAGCAGAAGTCTGGAGACCCCTTCTCTGCACAAAGTGCTGTAATTGAATATCCTAATTATAAGGTACGAGAAGGTCAGGGCCCACCTTGGGCTGTCGAGGAACTGAGGAAGGAAAGAGGAATTGCAAGATATTAGGCAGCAATAGAAAAAATTCAATTAAAAATTACAGTTCGAAAACTGGCATTTGAATGGTTTTTCAGAAACTCTACGAGATCTTAAGACATGTTAATCTTAAAATACGAAAAACATGAAGCAAAGTTTTAGTTCTCTCTGTACAATTTTACTGATGAAAAACTATTTATAAAAACAAACAAATAAATAAATAATAATGAAATAAAATAAAAAATAAAATAATAAAAAGCCTAGAGTAAGAAATTTGGCAAAATCTGCATTAAATTATAAATTTCTGAATCTGAATCGCATCAACTTAATTTAAGGTACCCGACTACTTGCAGACAACTTTTTTTAAAAAAAAAATGGAGATATGGGGATTTTTTTTACGATTTTTAGATTTATTTGGTATATTTTAAGGAAAAAATCGTAAAATTGAAAACAGAAAAAAAAATTATTATTATTAAAAGGGGAAAAAACTGTTGAAAATGTACAAAAAATTACATAAACGAGGCCCGCTCCGTACAAAAATTTTTTGAACAAATTCTCAATTTTTTCAATGTGTTAATTTGTTATTCATATTTAAAATGATCTTCAGGATTATAGATATTTTAATTGTTACAAAAACTAAAGTACTCTATCTTATTGACTATATGAAATTTCTTAAAAGACAGTGATTATATTTATTTAAATAACTGTAAATTCTGAAATAAAACAGTGATTGATAAATCTGAAGGTCAAAATACTTCTACTATTATACAAAACATTCACAAAAAATTTCAGCAAATTATTTTCAAAACGTTATGAGCAATCACTATCCCCGGTTGAGTTTTTCGAAAAAAAAATCACATTTCGAGTAAAACGCATTTTTAAGTTTGACTATTTGTGTAAGTTATGGCATCTTCTTTTGTTAAAACACTTGTAGTTTTTGCTGTAGGGAATGGAAAATAAAAAGCTTAATATTTTTATAAAGCTTATATGGTGTTCTATAAAATAAAATCATAAAAAAAAATGTCAATTTTTAAAAAAAAATCATGATTTTAGGGTAGTCGCATACCTTAAGAGTTAGTGTTGTTCTATGGAGCAATATGCAAGGATTATATTGTAATTTTGAGCCATGGTCTAGTTCTGAACTGGAACATCTTTCCTCGAATCTCTTCAATTAAAAGCAAAACAATTCACACACACAGAATTAAAAAAAAAAAAGAGAGAGAACCCATTCTTTTCACATGAAGATTCCTTCGTTAAATAAGAACTGAAATTCAGAGTTTTACTTGAGAATTGCTAAGATGTCGATATGCTGTTTGGCTATAATAAACAAGGATAACATTTTCACTAACAATCGCAAAACTAAGTTTTTAACCTTTTCAGGAAGAACACAAACAGAGTTTTACATTAAGAGTGAAAATTGGTACTTTAAAACCGAGATATTTCCGGGCATAAAGATTCGCGCGTAATATTACGAGTTAAGATACATTCAATACAAACACAACGATGGAACAAAATTTGGCACATTTTCAATGTGTTAAATGTGCTTGGTTTTATGTGGTTCTTGTAATTTATAAAAAATTCTGAAGTACATAAGCATCGTTATCAGAGGGGTATCTAGTCTTGAGTGGGGTCTGTATCAAAGTTCCTAGGGGCTCTTTTGCTCGTGGACCCTTAATATTTTGCGATTTTTTGCTTACGCATTTTGGGGGCCCCGTATCGTTGATACGGCAGTAACTACGCTCCTGATCGTTGTCTTCGAAATTTATTCTCATAATGATTCAAAACGAATATCCACATCTGTAAACTATAAATTTTACGAAAAGATTCCAAAAACCATCGAAACTTATGCATTACTTAAAAATTTTTAAGAAATAATTACATAGAATTATAGATTGAGTCAATAAAAAATATCTAACATCTGAAAAAATAAATACAAGATAATTACAATTTTAAGCATATAATAAACATAATACAAGAGGATCATGCATGATACCTTATTTTACAGAGCATTGAGAAATTCGGTTGGATTCTGTTTAAGTGTACACCTTTAATTTCAACTTATTGAATTGTCGGTCTTATGGATAAAGCCTAATTTAGAACAAGTAATGTAAAAAAAATTAAAGTCAATTTCTACTTAGATCAACAAAGAAAATTTTTATTTTAGTTAAATTTATTAAATAATTACAATTAATATAAATATGTATATACATATTGCAGAATCACAATATTTAGTAAAATAGAAAGCTATTTTGCTTTCTATATATGGTGTTCGACTTTAATTTTTTGTTTGTTGCTATTTATTCATTCATAAATCACATTCTCAGAAATTAGGCCATCCCAGGTAGGATTCGAATCCACGACCTTTGGATCACAAGTCCAACCCGCTATCCGTTGCGCTACAGGGACACAACTAGCGATTTTTTTTTCTTTCTATATATGGTGTTCGACTATTATTTTTCTTTGTTAGTGTTTATTCATTAATTAAATATAATTAATGAATTAATATTTGAAAAACTGTATTAACATCAAGTGTCATCCACTACAAGTTTAAAAAAAACGTATTTGAACTTGAGTTGAGGATAAAAAGTACTTTGTTAATGATTGAAAATTTGAACAAGATAGATACAAATAAATATATATATATAGGGAAGAGTGTGAACTAATAGCAGGAATTGGCAAAAAAGAACCATTGGCACAGTTTAGCACTATTTTTTCCCCTACGTCGAAAATGGTGTGACCTAAACTAGGATGTTACCAAGAAATTCATTATAGAGTATCCCTAGGATTGAGATACCGGAACAAATTTGTATAATATATATATATATATATATATATATATATATATATGGTAAGCTTCGCACCACAAAGAACTACTTGGAGGGATTTAAGTCGAGCTAACTAGGTCTTGCACAATAAGTAACTTCTTGTCAAAGGGGACAGCCTAGCTCAAATTTAAGTGTTTTCTTCTTACAAGCTGTAACAGGTTATAAGAAGGAAAACACATAAATTTGATGAAGTAGGAGAGATTACTATTTAAAATGATTTTCAAAATTAAATAACAAGAAATGCACTTATATTTTTAATGCAAACAAGGCGCTGAAAAGTGTGAGTACCGGGATAAAAAAAAACAGAATAAAGGATTGTTAAATAAAAAAACAAAATAAAAAAATATTAAAAAAAAAAGATGCAGTAAAATTTTTTTAAAAATTGAGACCGAAAGAATTAACGAGTTAGGGAAAGAAAACAATGAGTTATTGTGAAATGTTAAAGAATTATGATATCCTTTATTAATAGTAAATCAGTCGAATTGATACCATTAAAAAACTCTACCTGACAGATTATAATTATGACAGTACGAATTCGCACCGTAAGATCAACACTAACAAGTAATATAAAAAAAAATTTAAGTCAATTTCAACTTAGATCAGCAAAGAAAAAATTTATTTTAGATACTTTTATTAAACATTTACAATTAACATAAATATGTATATACATATGACTGAATCACGACATTATTGGTAATTAATTTCGTGCCAATTTGATAACGGGGGTAGTAGTGCCAAGTTGTTGTTTATGTTCGCTAAAATGGGCGATAATATTACAATATGGTTACCTTTATATTTTTATCGTCTGTCGATGTGGTTGCCATGGGGATAACGTATATTAGAAATAACTTTTATTCGTTTTTACCCGCAGTAACCCTATTAATTTCAAAGATTTTTTAAGAAATCGTAACCATTTTCAGTGCAATTTTTCTACTGTTTTCGTGTTCTGTTTAATTCTGGGCTATTTTGGAATATGGATATTTCTAAAATGAGTGAGTACTAGAATATTTTTTCTTAAAAGAATAAGTGGAGTGCTTTTAATAATCGCTATAATTCGTTTATTTTCGTTTTAAAAATGTTTTTTTTACGTTCTTTGTTCGATGAAATTCGTTGAAGGAACTTGCAGTACAAGTTTCATATTGCAAGCTTTCACTACTTTGTAATTGATATTCTTAATTAATTTTAACATACATTATTATTTTATTCATAATGAAAAAAAATGCAATTATTACTACGTGTAATAATATAATATTCGTTATTTATAATTGTTTCTCTTAGCATTTATTTATAAATATTATTACATATTTCGTTATTTATTTATAATTAATATTGTTATTTATTGATACAATTCGACGATTATGCTTTTTTATAATTAATATTTAATTGTATTATGATTATTATTTCTAATAACTGTTATAAAATCGTACTATATGAATATTATATATAATTACGATAAAATAATATTAGATTATATTATATGCTGCTTATAATACTATTATTAGTACATGTTACTTTTTATTATATAATATTAGTATCCATTATTTATTGATTGATCTAGGTTATTCTCTCAATCTCTTCCTATATCCTTTATTTGAAATACATTTCAATGTATTTCAAAACAATTCTTTAAAATTGTATATCATTAAATTACCGCTAGGCCGCCATATTGGATTTCATTCCAGAAACAAGAAGCGCTGCTTGGCGCTATTACCCCGATATCAAATTAGTTCCATTAATTTTTATTAATTATCATTAAAGTATCGTATTGTCATCCAAAACAATCATGTCTATAAAATTTCAGTTCAACTGAATGCTTTAAAACTTGAAAAAAAAAACAACCCTTTTCAAGTTTTGACAAGTCGTCAAAAGAGTCGCTAAGTCGCCAAAAATGATGTCAATGTGCTTGTATTTGTAATTCTTTAAATAATTAGTTTTAATTAATTAATTTTTATTAATTATAATTAAATTATTGTATTGTCATCTAAAACAATCATGTATATTAACTTTCAGCTCAATTAAGCGCTTTAAAATGTATTTTATTAACAATTGAAAATTCCACCGATAAATAAATAAATAACTATATAGAGAGTGAGCTAATAGTAGGAATTGAAAAAAATTCAGCTGTCCAATTTATTCTTTTTTTTAAAAAAAAAAATAGGAAAACACATACTTATCACATTTATCCCATTTCAGAACTACCGGAATCAGTAGAATTTTAACCAAGATTGAACAGAAGAAATTCGAAAACCCTCAGAAAGCAAAATTGATTTAAAGTGAATGTTTGGTAAATCTATTTGTCCGTGATAACTAAACGAGGAACCTTCTAACTCTTTAAAAGTGATCTTGATCCTCAATGGTAATTTTTTAGATATCCATTATCCAATGGCGAGAAAGCGCAGAAATAAAACACGAAAACTACAACAGCGTCTAATTTAGGAATGGTTAAGTTTATTTAAAAAATTTGATTTACCACTGTAAATTAATAAGGCTACTAGAATAAAAGCCTTCATAATACGTACGTAAACATAATATAGTCAACACAGTACTAAACTATAAAAATCAAGGTAATCGTATTGTAACCACTTGGCGTGAGAGAGAAAATTTAAAACAATTTAAGGAGCGCTTTACTTTACTCAAATAAATCCTTATTCTGAAAAAATTTATTCGTATTGATTTTAGGGTTTTTAATTACTTTTTAAGCATCAGAAATGGAATTCAGTATACCTTCGATGGTACTGGAAAATGCAAGAGATAGAGGTCAACATAATCCAACTGTAAGGCAGTGAGAGACAAATTACAAAAATACTCGACTGCATCTGGTTTCATTCCATTCAATGGTAACTGTAAACAAAGGAGAAATTTGAAAACTTTTCATTCAAACTTATTGGTACTTATGCATTATACCGTCGAATAATTACATAAAATTAAAACACATCACCCAATGCCGCAATATGCAACCAATAGTGGAAAACATACCCGCTCATGTTCGAATATAATGATAATGACGGCAGCATTTGGCAATATTTTTTGAATTGGCGAAATTGATCGATGGTGTAGTACGCAAAAAATTACGAAGTTATTAATTATCAAAAAAAAAAACAACCTATTCTAAAACTTATTAAAACATTAATGTATCAAAAAGGGTTTGGAGGCAAATATTTATATAAATAAAACCTTTAAATGTAGTGTTTATTTTGATTTATAGGAACATTCAAATTGATTTTTTTAGCGATTCAGTCAGATTTTTATAAATGCTTTAAAATAGATAAAATATCAATACAACTTGCTTAAACTAACACTTAGATTCAAAATAACAACAAGCTTTAAAACAGTAAAAATACTTCGAAATTTTTTTTATTCATTTTTCAATTAAATAAATATTAGTATAACAAAAATATTTGATATTTTCTAAGCGAAGCATAATTCGAAAGTTGGAACAGTTCGAAAGTTAGAAAAATTTGAAGCAAACTAAAAGTTTTACAATACAAATTTTGATCAGAATGTTTCAGTGAAAAAAAACAAACAAATGATTTGATCAAAATTTGTGTGGATACATAACTATGCATTATTAATATTTGATTAATATTGGCGGGATATTACATTTGATCAATTTCAGATACATTCTTGTGATTTTTTTCAGATATGAAATTATATTTCAACCATTAAAATATACCATTTGAAAATAACATTCTGCATATAAAGTTTAAAAGAATTATGCAACCTTAATTAGAAATACCACTTACATGTACTATAATTGCAAAATGAGTAAAATAAACAATACATTCGTTGTAGAAATATCTCTCTTTTATCAGTTTTGTTACACAAAATTTATAAAAAAATATCTATTTACCTTACTGACAATGAATAAGTCTTCTCTTTTAATTTCGCCCTTATTAAACATTTCTTTTAAGATCGCCCCTATTAGGTTTTCGTTCGAATATGAAAATGCAGTATCAATGTGTCTGTATCCAACATTTATCGCCGTTGTCAAAACATTTTTCATAGATTCTAGATCTTTGATCTGTAAAAAAAAAAAAAGAATCAAAACTTAACACTATATCAGAAACGTAGGAAAGCTAAGTATAGGAGAAAAATCTACAAAGTATAATCATATCCAAATTTAAGACATGCTTCATCATAAACTTCAGAGAGAATTTTTAATTTTGTTTCCTTTTTTTAAAAATTCTATTTTTTTTATCAGTTACGGAAACAATTATAAGTTAAAAGTATTAACAAACGATTCTTATTTTTAAAATAAATTTAATAATATAATTAAACGACAACCAAACGATTTATCAACTAAAATAAAATAAATCTATCCAAACGATATTTTAACACAAAGATATTCGAAAAATATAATTACTTGAAATGTTCCCAATCCAATTACTGGCATTTTATAATCATTTGATAGATTAATGTAGTATTTTGAAGAGTTCATTGTTTGTTAATTTAATATGTTTTCAAGAGAACTAACGTACAACAAAAGAAAAACGTTGTTCCAAAATATATTATATATAGAGAACAGGGTATGTTATCAACTGGAATTATATCATCTATTAAACAGAATGACACAAAATATCG